TGTATTTTAATAATGACTTAAAGATTTAGGTACGAGTTCAGTCGTCTCTTTTTAATAATTTGTTACATTTATAATCATTACTATGTGGTTCAAAAGAAGCTAGTCAGTAATAAAATGAACCCCATTGTGTTTGAGCACAAAATGTTATGGTTGTTTCTTTGCGGGGAAAAAAATCTCTCAACATAGGCAATGCAATCCCTTCAATCCCTTTGTGCTTCTATGTTTTCCCATGTCTCACATTTACTATATTTAATGTTGTTAGACCACCATTAAGTCTGGACCAAGAGCATTTGTCAACAATAGATGTCATTTTCTGTTTGGCCTCATCTGCAGTTTGAGGTTATTCATGATGACCCTCTACTTAAAGGGCAGCAATAAAGTGACCTTCTCCATCCCAGAACCTATTCAAACAACTAATATACATGGTGAATGGAAATAAGGACAGATGGTAGTATCAGCAACAAAGAAGCTGCTTGTCAGGATGGAAGACTGGTATTCAGTCCTTGTGGAGTATATCAGACCAGAGAAGCTATCTAAATGATTAGAAAGGTATAATTGGAAAAATTCATAGACAGTAGCTGATTAAAATGAACAGAGATTTTTTATTAATGTTACATATTTCCTTATGAGGTGGTAAAGTTTCATCAGTTCATACTACAGAGTTTTTGTGGCTTTTTGGAGGTAGGTAGGTGCATATGATAGTGTTTACAGAAAGGACTTAGGCATAAAGCAAGGAGATTCAAGAAAATGATGTTGGCCAGAAGCAACTGCAAGAGTTATCCTGTTGCTAAATTTTTATTTGTGGCAGGTTTGGCCATTATGATCATAGAAAGTTATAAGGGACCTTAGAGATCATGGTCAAAGTCCTTCATTTTATGGACGAGGAGACTGAGGCCCAGGGAGCTCTGCGCAGTGCTTTGCTGAAGCTCATGTATCTAATAAGAGGCAAAATCAAGATTCAAACCCATGTCCTCTCACTCCAAATCCAATATTTTTTCCAATGAACTAAACTAATCCCTTTAAAGTATAATATGGTTTGTCATTACTCTCTCCCCAATATACTTGATTAACAGCCAAAGGTAACTAATTAGTAGTAAAAAGGAGAAGCAACCTATTTAACTTCTAAAGGAATTTATGCAAAAGTGTATTAATTAGACTCTAGCTTACTCTTTAATCAGGGAGGGAAAACAACATTGCAGAAGGCAATTTTTTATATTTTTAGAACTTGTATTTTGTATTGTATTTAACAGCATCTAAATATAATCCTTTACATTCAGAAATATTGTCTCTATAAAATAAGTGAGGAAGAATTATCATAGAAATATAACCAAATGTAGCATGGAAAGGGCTTTAAATCCTAACTTGATACAAGTTTTTCATATTTTTTTTTCAAAATTAAATGAAACTTCCAAAAACAGTAGCTTATATGCTTCATATTCATATATACATTCATGGTTTTAAAGTGCATATAACATGTATACTTATATTTGTACATATTTAATTTGCATAATAGTTTACTTGTTTATATACAGTGTGCTGCCTTGAAACATAAATGACATTGCCCATAAACATTCTTATACAATAGGAACAAATCTTTATTGAATTGACAAATTTCATAAGGCAATAATTATAGCTATAGTAAAGATTACAACTGAGTCTAAAGGCAGGGAAAATCACAGCGATTCAAAGAAGGGTCAGGTTGCACAATATTTTTCAAAGGAGGAAAGTCTTTCAATAATTTCACTTCATTCCAGCTAGAATACTTGTAATTGCTCTAGCCTGGTATGTGTAGTGGCTAAGTCGATCACGGTCTTTCCAAATCCAAGTCAAGGTTGTGATGACATTCACCTACCCTTCCAGAAGATTCCCTCTTTTGTTCTCCATTGAGCTTCCATCTCAATGTTCTGAGGCATGTGACAGCTTAAAACAAGTGAGGTAGATATAACGATTGTGGTATTAAAGAATGAGTACATGCAGAGCTGAGGGCTTCCTTTTTTGTGAGACACCTCCTGATGTTGGAATCCATTTAAGAAGTCCCAGAAACATGGTGGGAGGCCAGGAAGACATTTTTAGACTCTCTTTGAAGTTCCTGTAAAATATATTATGTTCTTTAATATTCTTTTTGAAACAGGAAAATATGAATGAATATTTAACATTATTCTTGCATGAAATCATTGCTAACATTTCTGTAGCAATTTGTAGTTTGCAAAATATTTTCATTATAACAGATAAGCAAGGCAGGTGATGACAATATTAATAATATTTCATTACCAGACTTAGAAAGCAAGACGAGAGTTTAGAGGTCATCTATTCCAACCCACCCCCCCACTTTACAGACAAGGAAACTAAGGCTCTGACAGAGCAAGAGATTTACTCAAAGTCCCACTCAGAACTTTAAAAAAAAAAAAAAGACCTGTTATTTCATGACTGTAGGTATTTTCTCCCCTGACACAGCTCATGCTTTAACAGATGGTCTTTGAGACTTGCTGGTCATCAGACAACAAGCATGCACAATCTGTTCATTTCATTGTTGGCTTGGGAGCCTGTGTTATGCTGGCATAGCCTTCAATAATAGTAAAAGCTGACCTTGTGTAGCACTTTAATATTTAAAAAATGTTTTATATGCATTATTGCATTTGATTATAATAATATTTCTTTAAGATATGTACTATCTTTTCTATTTCCCAATCAGGAAAATAGGAATGAACCAGTGGTATATTGTAAAAATAAATTTTAAAGCTAGGTGTGAACGCACTATACAAACATAACACATTATTAGTATTATTTTTATCATAGCATTCCCAGATCTGCTATTGGATAATACTATATTTGTCTTACCAACAGACTAAGTAGTTATAATGATTCATTTTAAAAACCATTCTTTTACAAAAGTAAAAATTGTTTATTTCTTGTTGGAATGGTTTTCCATCAGGCACCAGCATTTTGAAATTTTTAGATTTCATTCAGTTGCCCTCCCGAGGTGCCATAAATCTGTTGGAGCCCACTTGACAAAATTAAGAGAAAGCAGGATACAGTTTTTTTTCTACTTCTAAAAAACTGTAAAACAGAAAGGAACATTAGGAACTTCTTTATATGCTGGTATTTCCTCCAACAAAGGGCAGACAAGAAAGGGACAGTGGAAGAGGAGTGATTAAGAATCTCAGAGGACTCTGCAAAGCCTGGGGCATCAGTGACTTTGGAAAATTGACTTAGCAGGCCAAGTGCAAGGAACAGATGGAAAAAACTGGAGAAAGCCTGGCTTATTCTCATTTTACAGAGTGGTAAAGAGGTTTTGCTACCACCCCATCATTCAGTAATTCTGTGCTTCAGCAGTCAAAGCTTGAATATCCTATTCTGGAGATGGTGTAAACATTTATATTTTGAGGCAAGCACTGGTCTACAGGATAAATATCTAACTCTCATTTTGGAATCATATAAATATACATGTCCACCTCTTAATTGTCCCTGGTCATAGAAGGCATAGTATTGAGAATATTGGCTTTGGTGTTAGAGGACCTGGGTTAAAATTATGGATCTTCTACTTACCACCTTTCTGACCTATAGCAAGTCTCTGAAACAATCTGTGTCTCCATTTCCTCTTCAGTAATTTGAGAGTATTGAACTAGGTTACTTTTAAGGTTCCTTCTGGCATTAAATCTCATGATTTTACATATAATAAAACTGAGACTCAATAAACTCAGTGACTTGTCTGCAGTTAGTTTTTAAGTGTTAAAGGAGTGATTTGGTTGCCTGCATTGATGGCCCATCTGAGACATCCAAGAAGTTCTTGAGGGACAGCTGTGTCCTTATAACACTTTTCATTGTATCTGCTGATTCTTTATCTTTCAGTCCCAACCCTTACTACATGGCCATCAGTCATTGCAACAGGGCAGGTGTCTAGTTAGTTAGTCTCTGCTTTTGGAAGAGCACTGAGTTTACTATAGCAAACTAGGGTGCTTATTTGGGAATAAAAGTATCTGCCCATATGCTTGGGTGAAGGAATATCAGCTCTGTGTCACAGTGGATGGAATGCTAGGCCTGAGTCAGAAAGACTTGAATACAAATCTTGCCTCAAATACTTACTAATTGTGTGACCTGGATAAGTCACTTAACCTTTCTTTGCTTCAGTTTCCTCAACTGCAAAATAGAGATAATAATTATACCTACCTACCAAATTGTTGTAAGGATCAGATGAGATAACATTGGTGAAGTACTTAGCACAGAGCCCTGCATATAGTAAGTGTTTAACAAATCCTTCCTTCCTTCCCTTCCTTCCTTCCTTCTTCCTTTGCTTCCTCCCTTCCTATCTTCCTTCCTTCCTCCCTTCCTTCCTTCCTTCCTTTCTTCCTTCCTTCCTTCCTTCCTTCCTTCCTTCCATCCTTCCTTCCTTCCTTCCTTCCTTCCTTCCTTCCTTCCTTCCTTCCTTCCTTCCTTCCTTCCTTCCTTCCTTCCTTCTTCAGCATGGCTCAGATATGGAATAATGAACACAGTATTCGACTTAGGGACTAAAAAACCTGGGTTCAAATCTTAACTCTGATACTTAACCAATTGAATGATCTCTTAACTTCTCGGTACTCATTTCTGTAAAATGTTAGTCTGTAAATCTGTAAAATGGTGAGAATAATACCTGGAGTGCCTATCTCATTTGGGATGTAATGAGGTTTGAATGAGATACTTGTAAAGCACTCTGAAAGCTTTAAATTTCAAAGTATATAATTACAATCTTTATTAGAAAATATGAACAGTTCCTTCAATATTATATTTTTTATTTGAACATGTTTATTTTACCTCCAAGGTACTAAAGCAAAAGTCATCATGGAAATGCATTGATAGGGGAAATAAAGCAGTTACAGAGGTTAAATTCATTAGGTAGATCAAGTATCTTTTAAATCTCTACTAGGTGCAAGACTATGAGGATACAGAGACAACCATGTTATTATTTCTGCCCTCAAGAAACAACTACAATGGACCCAGAGTGATGCTGGGTGCACTAGTTATATGAGAGAATAGTTCTGTTTCCTTCCAGATCAGGTAAAGAGCTAAAACATTCCAATGGTCAGTCTTCCTGATGGACAACTGGTACATTTTAACAAAAACACGTTCTGATTGGGCACATTCTGTAGCATGCAGCAAATACTGTAGCCAACATGTATTCCAAACATTTCTAAGGTCAAACCATCAGAAGCTGATGACATCAACTACAGTAAAATGTGAGCTTTAAGCCTTGAGTAACCATCAACATCCCTGGTTCTATTAAGAATGTAGTAAAAGAATCACTCTATTTATTTGTACTAAATAGAAGTGAAAACTATTGTTCAAAATTAGTGATAAAGATGAACATAAGCTATTATCACACAGATTTATTTATACCCTGAATTTAATTTTAGCTACTGAAAATAGAATAGTAGGCACATGCGTAACTGGGGAGGAGTGCCTGGGACTTTACCCTAGACTATAAAAAATTAGAAGTCTCCCCCCAGTAAATTCTCATTTCTGCTCTATCAGCAATGTAGAAACAATTGAAATTAGGATATGGTTAGCAAAAATAATTAGTTAACATAAGAAATGATGAGAGTACTTCATCTCAGAGATTGAGTTTGGAGGTGGGGGGGAGAAGGTGAATCCCAGCTGAGCCTCTCCCTAACTCTCATTCCTAGTGGTAGCTTCTTTTGCCTTGATTTTACAATATTCTAGGGCCTCTGTAGCACCCCCCCCCAAACTTGATATGTCTTTAAAAATGAATTTGAATCCTGTCCCAATGTGCTTTTCAAAGGTTGTCCCAGGTATCAAAATTTCTAGTTATAGCTCTGACAATGACATTCAAACAAAATTTGTCACTTCATAGGTAGGGTATAAAGTGTTAAACCTATTCCTTTACATCAGCATTGCAAAGGGGTTCTAGTTGATTGAATAAAGCATTCTTGTTTAACAAAAAGCTTTATGACATTAAAGGCTATTTATAACCCTTGCCCTACAAAGGCCAGAAGGCATATGAAAGATGTAAGACGTGTAAGACACAAGCCTAACATAAGACATAGCCTAACACAAGTATTCAGGACAGCCCATATATAACTGTCATGGTTTATCTTTTGATTTGGTCCAGGAGTACTTTGATTCAGAAGGCTTTGATATGGCTAAAGAAAAAGCAGACAGGACAACTCATCCTGTATAGCTCAAAACTAACATCCTTCAATAACAAATTTCCTTTTTCATAGTCTCCCTCTCTTTTGTAATTTTTTTAAAATTTAATTTATTTTTAGTTTTCAATAATCACTTCCATACTCTTTTGAGTTTTTAAATTTTTCTCCCCCTCCCCCTCCCTCTCTCCTTCCTATCCCAAGAAGGCATGCAATCTGATATAGTCTCTACATATACATTCCTATTAAACATATTTTCACATTAATCATGTTTTAAGGAAGAATTAGAATCAATAGGAGGAACCACAAGAAAGAGGAAAGAATTTTAAAAAGAGCAAATAGTATGCTTCAATCTGCATTTGAATGCCATAGTTTTTTCTCTGGATGTAGATAGCATTTTCCATCATGAGACCTTTGGAGAAGTCTTTGATCCTTGTGTTGCTGAGAAGGGCAAAGTCGATCAAAGTTAGTCATTGCACAATGTGGCTGTACTGTGTACAACATTCTACTGGTTCTGCTCACTTTATTCAGCTTCAGTCCATACAAGTCTTTCCAGATTTTTCTGAAGTCTATCTGCTCATCACTTTTTATAGCACAATAGTATTCCATTACATTCATATACCACAACTTGTTCAGCCATTCCCCAGTTGATGGGCATCCCCTCAACTTCCAATTCTTTGCCACCGCAGAAAGAGCTGCTATAAATATTTTTGTACGTGTGTATCCTTTTCCCATTTTTATGATCTCTTTGGGATACAGCCCTAGAAGTGCTATTGCAGTCTCCCTCTCTTAAAAGTAACTAAATGAGTCCAGAGCAATTCACTCTACTGCCTATCCACCCACTATATGTGTCTCATTTCCTACCTCCTATGATTTGTCTTTGCTTGATGTTTCACAATGCATGTTAAAGTATGTGGATTTCTATTGAATGAATAATGTGACTGAGTTTTTTTTCTGTCTGTATACCATGTTCTTGATGGTATTTATCATTACCAGACTCAACTTTGATTAGTAAATGGATATGTACTCACTAATATGCCATTTTTCAAATTAAAAAAAAAAACTTTTCCCCAATTGATAGGCATCCCAGTAATTTCCATTTCTTTGCCACCCAATGAGATACTTGCTTCTCAGGCAGCATGTAGTAATGTGAGTTATCCCTTTGTTGTTTTGAAAATATGCTTTTTGTTTCTTTCAATAATTCAATTATATACAATACCGAATTTGAAGAGCAAAGGAAAAAGCTGTCATCTTCTTGTCCACCATTGTGTGCTTGAAACAAACCCCACCACTCCCCAAACGACTAAATCTGTGTGTTTGGGTGAAAGTGACAATGAAGATGAAGTGGTTAAACACCCTCCATAAGCAATGCCAATAGGAAGCTGGAGTGGCTCCAGAGCTTTAGTATATTTAAAAGAAATGTGAATGCTTTTGAGGCTCTGCTTATGTATCTTTGAATACACAGAGTGTGCCTTTTTGCAGAAAGCACTTTTCTTTTCTCATTTCACTCTGTGTTCATAGAATATTGTACACAGGTGTCATGGAGAGAAATTGTTTTACAGAGCCTATTCCTTTGAAGGTACATTTTGAAGTTTCAAAATACTGGTCAATAAGCATTACCTGCCAAATAGTATTCCTACTTAAAGGAATTTTCCCTTTAAAACTAGATCCTTTCTTGTAGGACTAAGTACTGTGTTATTAAGACAAATTTTGAGCTGAATGTTTGCTCTTCTTAGGCATTGTATGACTTAAGTCTGAAAGGAACATCCAAGATTCTCTAAACCAATCCCTTCTGTTTTTAGAGGAGAAAACTAAGACCGCAAAGGTAAAGCTACTTGCCCAGGGTCACTTAAGTATTAAAGAGCAAAGTTCAGATTCAAATCCAGGTTCTCTGATGCCAGTTACAATGTTTGTTCAATACTTGTTCTACAGCATACTAGCTTTCATCCTTCCCAAATTAAATTAAGACTGTGAATTATGAGGAAAAGCACCACAATGAATCACTATCACCTGGAAAGGGAGGGAGACTTAAGTTAGAAGGCTGTTCTTCCACGTGGGAGAACTAGGATTGAGTTCTACTCCTGACATCCTAGCTGTATGATCACGGGCTTAACCTTCTGAAAATAGAGTTGCAGAGGAGTTGTTCATCTTCATAAGTAGGTAAAGTTTACATAACAGGAATTCCCCATGCTGATGAACTCATAAGCTCAGGCTGAAAACAGAAGAGTACATAATCTTCTTTGCAAAAGTTACTTACAAATGTGTACTTCCATAGTGGTTATGGATATTGTCATTAAAATGCATCAAAATTAAAATCTTAGGGTCCCTAAGAATCAGAGAGAGAGAGAGGTAGATAGATAAGTAGATATAGATATATGCACATGCATATATGCATATATATACACACACATATGCATATGTATATATATATGATTCCTCACTAGAATGAATTTTTCCATTTTATTTTCATTCACTAGATTTTTTCATGCACTAGAATTTAAGAATGACTTTGAGCAAATAAGGTATTTTGTCTATTATAAGTACCTAAATTAACTATAAAGGATGAAGAAAGATACTATCTACATTCAGAGAAAGAACTGATAAGTAGATGTATAGAATAATTTTACATATACATATACATATGTATAATTTTACATATACATATATAATTTTACATATACATACATATATATATATACATACATATATATCTATACCTATTTGTGTCTAATGGTAGCCATGGTGGGGGAAGGAGGGAAGGAAAAAAAAGAAAAAATTTACATGATAATGTGTACTTGAAAGGAATAGCAAATTGTTCATGGTTTTGCAGTTTCACGTGTAATTATTTTTATTATTGTACTGTGTTATGGAAATACTTGTTTTATTCCTCAAATTAAAAGTAAAATTCTTCACCAAAATGTCCAGATTATCTTCTTTATGACAGTTACTGAGTTGACAAGCATTTATTAAGTACTGATTATGTGCAAGGCATTGTGCCAAGTGCTAGGGATACAAAGAAAGGTAAAAAGGATACCTGCCCTCAAGCAGCATACATTCTAATGGGGGAAACAACATGTAAATAACTAGATACATACAAGACACATAGGGAATAGATTGAAATTCATATCAAAGACTTTAGCAACTGGGTCAAGGTGGACTTTGAACTGAGTCTTGAAAGAAGTCACAGAAAGTAAGAGACAGAGATGAGGGGACAGAACTCAAAGACATGTTGGATAGCCAGTTCAAAGGCATAGATTTGGGAGGTGGAATATCCTGTTCGAGGAACTAGAAGTAGGCCTGTGTTTCTTGGATTGTAGACTTCATGGAGGAGAATAAGGAGACTGAAAAGGTAGAAAGGGACCAAGTTATAAAAAGCTTTAAATATCAAATAGAAGACTTTATATTTGATCCTGAAGGTCTTAGGAAGCTACTGGAGTTTACTGAAAAACTTGATTGAAGGTTATATAATCAGACTTATACTTCAGAAAAATCACTTTGACAGCTGAATGAAGAATGAATTGAAGCTGCAGAAGACAAGGTAGGAAGACCAAAAAGAAGACTATTGCGAAAACTCAGCTAGGAGATGATAAGAGCCTGAACTAATTTCCTGGCTATAGAAGTAGAGAAAAGCTGTTGTATACATGAGTTGTGATGAGAAAAGAAATTATAAGATTTGGCAAGAGGGTGGGTATTTGGGATATATGGAATGAGGTTGTAAGCCTGTGTGAATGGTAGTACCCTTGACAGTAACAGGGAAATTGGACAGAGTGGGGATGATTGGAAAGGGGAAAGATAACGTGTTCTGCTTGAGACATACTGGATTTGAAATGCCCATCCAATCCAAGATGTCCAAGAGGCAGTTACAAGCTGTAGGTCAGAAGAGAAGCTAGGACT